ACATTGTATGTTATATAAATAATTAAAAATTAAATATAAATAATAATTAGTAATTGCATTAGTTACTTATTGTATATACAATGATATACAAAAATATGTATATACAATTTAATTTCAAAGTAAATACTAAACTAAATTTAGATATAAAAAATTACCAATTTGATTTGCAGAGTCTTCATAGAGTTTCTCTTATGTTGATGACAAAAAAAAAGATATTAAAAAATAATTTCATCAATAAACCTGTAAGAATGTATATCAATTGAAAAAATGGATAATTTATAATAAATATTTAAAAATAATCTGTTAATAAAAATTTAAAATATATATTCTTTTGCATATTATATAGATAACCAAAATTCAAATAAAATATTAGCTAATAGTTTTTGTTATTTGTGTATCTTATAGATTAATGATATACAAAAATATGAGTAATCATTTACACTTGACTTACCATTTAATTGAAAGTTGTTCATAATGTTTTAGAAGATTTACTAGCCAGAATTGTTTAGTTATTTATATCAAAATTTTGCATATTTGGTGTTAAATAATTCACATGATGAATTAATCTACGCGATATTAGCAGCTGAAATTATTTTTCTGATTCAGCAATTATTATTATGTATATATCGTCCTCAAAAATATTATTTGTGTTATCGTGTATATAATATTTTTAGAAAATATTATCTATATTTTCTGATGCATAAACGTAATGTCGTATTAATTGAATGAAATTAAGAAATAAAAATTTCATACGTTAGTTATTTGGAAATGACATTTAGAGCATAAATAAAATATTTTTACTCTAGCTACTGATAAAAATTTAATAAAATACTACAAAATCATATTTTTATTTTAAAATTCATAAAATAATCAAAATGAAAATAATATATAGAAATTAAATTAAATTTCATATTTAATTTTAAAAATAAAAATATATTATAACATGTGAAAAACATATTAAATCTTATATTATAATAAATTTTAAAAATTATTTGTAGCCGCAAATTCGCGGACAGCCACCTAGTCTTCCATTAATTGTTTTGAGGTTGTTTTTTTCTATATTTGATATGCATTTTTTCCAACTAATTCTTATATTTTCTTCTAAAATATTTTATTGTAAGTTTTTCTTTAATTTATCTCTATCACCTCTAAAACACAGATTAATATTTTATATGTTCTAAAAATATATATTGTCTTCTAAGATAAAAAATTAAAAAATTAAAAATTGTGAAATAATATTTCAACACCTTGACTCTTTAATATAAACTAAAACAAATTGATGTGGTAAGCTATCGGAGGTAGTTTACGTAGACACCAACTTAATCTATACTATTAAAATAGAAGTCATATTTTCTTCATGTGTGATATTTTTAGTTGGATCTTCTCTTAAAAATACAAATGTATTTTCTTAAGATTAATAATATATAAAATATGTATACCTACTTTAATCATAATATCTTTTGATATCTTTTCATTTTAAATATATATATATATATATATATATATATTAAAAACAATTCTTTTTGAAAATATTTAACAAGATCTCAATTTTAAAATTTTATGTAAGTATTTTCACTACTTTCTTAATTAATAATAAAACATATTATACATTAATCTATATTACGTTATCTTTTATAAAATAAAAATAAAAATTCAATCATATTTTTATTTATTTTATAATCATAATCTATCATGTAAAAAATAATTATTATACTAGACTAAATAGGATAAAATTATATTAAATTGATATATTAATATATTATATTTTCATAAATATTTATATTTATGTTAAAATAATATAATATTTTGGTAAAATGAGTAACATACTTAACTATATAATAAAAAATATCTTAAACTTTATTATATAGAAAATATATTATCTAAAATGAAAAACATAAAAAAATTACTAATATGTAATCTAGAGTTTTGAAATACAGGTAAGAATTTAGCAAAAATTAAACAGAAATATTATTTATAGTATGTTATTTTATGCATTGGTTTATCTGTTCAATAATCAAACACAAATCCAATAAGATAACAAAAAGCTATGAATACATGAGACGGTTTACAATAGATTAATTACGACATGTAATTTGTAAGATTATTGTATTTGAAATAGTTATATAAATATTTAAATATGTTATTAACGTTAAAAATATATGCCCTTAATGACTTAAGCAAATATCTAAAGATATATATATATATATATATATGAAATTAATCACCTGTGCAACTAGTTATAAGTTAATACCAGATATAATCTTGTAATAAAAATACTATTATGCTCTTTTCAACAAAAAAATTATTCCATCTGTTTCATAAAGAACGTCATTTTAGCTTTTTATTTTGTTTCAAATAAGTTTTATTCTACATTCCTAATACAATTTTTCATAATAAATCTCTTCATTTATAAACAACCAATAGATGTTTAGGTAAATAATTTTTATTTAAATAATTATATAATAAATAAGGGTAGATTAGTATTTTTATTGATTTCTTAATCTGTGTGAAATGTGTCAAAGTGACACTTAATTTGAAATGGAGAAATGTTGTAATAATTAGCATTCGGCCGTGGAGTCATGGACCAAAATTAGAATAGCATAAATAAAAGAGCAAGAGAAATAGACGAAGGACAACCAGACTCGTGCATATATCCAATTTTTATATATTCATTCATCTGCAGATTTGGTCGGTCCCAGCAAAAAATGCACTTAGTGTTGTAATAGAGTGGATTACTCTGAAACCGTATCATATCGTTTGTTTCGAGTTTCAAATATTAATCATTCTGATTAACGATAGAGAGTTGACTAATTATTTGTCATGATCCATCATATTAACCACTTAAATCAAAATAAAATACAGACTAACCAAATAATGATATTGGTAAACCTTTTTCTCTTCTCTTATGTTGTTCTGTTGGTGTCTAATGACATCTTCTTTTTTTATGCTTTATTTTGTTTGGCTTCAAACTTTGATCTTTGTTCAGTGTTATAAAAAAAAAAAAAAAAAAAAAAAAAAAAAAAAAAAAAACCAAATAATGATATTATTATAAATTATAAAAATATTAATAGATGATTTTACAGAAGATAATTTTATTTACTTTATATGAAGATTTTTTTCCGGAAAATTGCATTTTAAATACTCAAGTTGGCAAAAGTTTGCACTTTAAACCTTGATGTTCAACATCTAACACTTTAAACAATGAAAGTAATTTCAATAACATATTAAACATTGAAACTAACTAACTTGTTCGCCACATCAAAATTGTGACCGGTACTGTACACTATCAGGTCAAAATGATGACGTGGCACTCACTTTTTTTTTTAAAAATATATGTTTTAATTAATAAATCAATAAAAATGATTAAAATAAATAAAAATAGTTAAAAGTAAATATAAAATAAATAAAATTATCTTAAAAAATAAAAAATTACTAAAAAAAATAAAACTTACAAAAATTATTTTAAAAATACAAAATGTTTCTTAAAAATAAAATAATAATTTAAAATAAATTCAAAAATTAAACTAATTCCCAAAATTAAGAAAGTTATAAAATATATAATTTTCATATACTTCAGTTTTCAAAATTTAAAATATTTAAAATTCTCTTAAAAAGATAATTTTATTAAAATTTGAAGATAATTTTTTCAGTTTTATTTTTTAAAGATAGTTTTATCCAATTTATCTTAAAAATAAAAATTAGTAAAATTTTTAGAACTCATTAAGATGGTCTCTGGCATACAAATTTTAGACCATCTTAATGAGTTTTAAAATTTTTACTAATTTTTTATTTTTAAGATAAATTGGATAAATTTATCTTTAAAAAATAAAAAATTAAAAAATATCTTCAAATTTTAATAAATGTAGTGTGTTTTTATTATTATTTTAATGAATGTTAAGTTATATTCAATAAAAAGAAACTGTTCTGAAGATTTTTTTTTCATTTTTATTTTTTAAAGATAAATTTATCCAATTTATCTTAAAAATAAAAATTAGTAAAAATCTTAAACTCATTAATATGGTCTAAAATTTGTATGCCAGAGACCATCTTAATGAGTTCTAAAATTTTTACTAATTTTTATTTTTAAGATAAATTGGATAAAACTACCTTTAAAAAATAAAACTGAAAAAATTATCTTCAAATTTTAATAAAATTATCTTTTTAAAAGAATAAATATTTTAAACTTTGAAAACTGAAGTATATGAAAATTATATATTTTATAACTCTCTTAATTTTTGGGATTTATTTTAATTTTTGAATTTATTTTAAATTATTATTTTATTTTTAAGAACATTTTGTATTTTTAAAAATAAATTTTTGTAACTTTTAAACTTTTTAGTAATTTTTTTAAAGGTAATTTTATTTATTTTATATTTACTTTTAACTATTTTTATTTATTTTAATCATTTTTATTGATTTATGAATTAAAATATATTTTTTTTAAAAAGTGACTGACACGTCATCATTTTGACCTGGTAATGTACAGTACCGGTCACAATTTTGACGTGGCGAACAAGTTAGCTAGTTTCAATGTTTAATATGTTATTGAAATTACTTTCATTGTTTAAAGTGTTAGATGTTGAACATCAAGGTTTAAAGTGCAAACTTTTGCCAACTTAAGTATTTAAAATGCAATTTTCCCGATTTTTTTCACTAAACCACCATAAGCCGATTTATAAACCCCACACCTAACGATTTTATTTTAGCTACGCATATTCTCCTTTTTGAAATTTTAAACACGTATATGTTGTTGTAGAAACATCAAAACCCCCTAAATCAAACCAATAGAGCAAAGAGATTTTCACCATTTGCACAGCAGCTTATGTATCAAAATAAATTGAAATATAGCAATAGAGTAGCTCAGGGCAAAAGAGGAAAAACCTGAAGCCATATCTTTCCATAAATACACCCACTCACCATCTATGCTCATCAGCCTCACCCCTTCTCTCTCTATAACTCTGTGGAAGCTACATAAGTATATACCACATAAAAAATAAACAATGTCGACAGAGTTGACGGAGGAGGATTCCTTGTCTGGCAAGGATTACCAAGACCCCCCGCATGTGATGATATTCGAAGGGAGGGAGCTAGGTAAGTTGTCCTTCTATAGAGCAGTGATCGCTGAGTTCATAGCTACTCTCCTTTCTATTCATCACCATCTCTTGACAGTCATCGGCTTCAAGAGCTAGACAGATCTCCGAACCGGCGGTGAGGAATGTGCCAGCGTCGGCCTCCTTGGCATCTCTTGGGCCTTCGGTGGCATGATTTTCATCCTTGTCTACTGCAATGCTGGCATCTCTAGTCTATTTTCTTCGCTGTGAAAGTTTGTAGATCTTCCATGTGGGATATTTTGTCTAATAGATTTTTGCATCGAAAACTCCAATATTGAAACCTTCATTTCCAATGCAGGATCATGACAGACAACTCTGAGGGCAAGATCAGGCGGGAACGAATGTTAAGCGAAGACGGAGGTGTAGTGAGTCTCTGCCACTTCCCAGCAGTCCTCCAAACTAGCTTCTCGGACAACAATCTAAGGTGAAACCACTGGGAAAATATCATCAAAGAACAACTTTATCATCAACTGATGAATCAAAGCATGTCGTCTTTTTGTTGCCGTTCCCTTGTCTTATGTAGCCAAATCTCAAGCACTAAGATTGGACATTAGTAACTGAACATGAGATCCGATCCAAACCTAAACCGAAAAATCCCAATCCGTATCCAAGTTGTAAAAAATATCTGAATTTATCTTGTACGACGATATTTCGGTGTTAGTATTATCAAACGGGTATAAAAGACCAAAACTCAAAAAAAAATCTGATGAAAATATCTGAATATACACTCAAAACCTAAATAAATACCTCAAATATTCAAACATAAGAATATCATAACCTAAAGTATTATGAGCCGAATCCGAATTGAGTTGAGATCTAAGATAGGTTTTAAATAGAGTCTTAAATCTCTCTTTTTGGTGGAAAAAAGAGAGATTTTTGTTTGAAATACCTTAAATTGGATATCAATTTTCAAAAATATATTCAAACAAAAATATTCTAACATATAGGTTTAGTTTTATCTTATTATATAAAGCTTGGTTCATCATAGTTACTAATTAACAAGATTGTGGCACATCTATCTTATTAAAATAGAAGCATTACAACTTCTTCTAGGTGGATTTTTAAGTTGGACCTCATATTATTAATCTATAGTCTAATAACGATATGATATTATTGTTAGTCGAATATAATATTTACGCAGTTAATTATATTTCGCTATTGTTTAGGAAGTTATCTAAGGAAGTTAGTGATGATTTGGTATCTTATAATTATTTGGAACATAATTATAATTAACCTTCTTATTCTTTACGAAAATCCTCAGTATATTCTTATTCTTTTTAAGCAGAAAATCTCGGTTACATTTAAAGCTCTTGATTTGGTATTAATTATAAAGCACAATTCGATAGATATATACAATCCTTTATGGAATTTTCCCTTCTACAAGTCAACCTACTTTCCTAAAATCTCGCTTAGATACTAAATATCTTGATTTGGTATTAATTATAGACTATTAATTGGTTTTCTGAATTGTTGGAGAGTATATTTGTTTTGACGCCCTACCTAAAATATGAAGCGTATTATAGTTCTTCTCATATTCATCATTCGACATTCACTATCATCACCTCCAATAAAAAAAATGACAAAACCAATTACTTTTGTATTCCTTAACGGTGTTAAACTTTACAGAGATAATTGGCAAATTCGCGTTAAGGTTCTTCATTGTTGGAAACAAAACACCAGTTATGGAGGTGACACATTAGAGTTGGTCCTCGCTGAAGAAAATGTAAGTTACAGAAATTTGATTTTTTTAAAAAAAAATCATTTTCTAATCAATATCTTATTCAACTTTTCTATGTTTTGTAGGGTGTAAAGATTGCAGCATTTTGTAAAAGAAATCAAAATTCTGTGACTTACAGGTTATGATTTGATCATCTTCGTTTTCTTTAGTTTTTTCCTGTGAACTAAACATTTGTCTTCTTTTCTTTTTTTGACGAACTAAACATTTGTCTTTTCTATAAATCTCAGGTAAATTCATTATCTTCACATTTCATATTTATTTTCTAGGTTAGATCTTATCATGATCATTTTAATGTCACGGATTTATTTCATTGGAATAGTTATGGAAAAAATAGTCGCTACAAAAATCTAAACTATTTGATATCAACCTTCAAATGCTGAATTGAATTGGTAAGTTTTCTTGACTTCTATTTTTAATTTAATAGTAGTATGACGTAAACAACAAATAAACAAGAACCAATGTTTATTTGTCAAATATTTATATTCTAGGAAAAATGTTAGTTAGCTACACGAAGTATCACCCATCACATGGCTAACCATGCCAAGTTTAATAATTTATGGCCAGCTACACCAAGTATATGTTATGCATGCCAACATCCCCGAACTATATGATGTTATGTAATCAACATCATTAGCTTAATTAAAGTCGAGCATGAGTGACATGTGGACGCCCCGACCATAAACGTTGTTAACTCTCTGGTTTAACTCTTCGGTTTAGGCAAATTTAAACCAGAATGGAAACCAGACAATAAGACCAGACCAAATAAAATTGGGCCCAAAGTCAATCCTATCTCCTCCCCTTCTTTTTCATTTTGAAACGAAGACAAGAAATTTAAGGTTTTAAATTTTCACAAATCAGTGAGAGAAAGGAACTTGGTGTTTGCTACATATTTTAACAAATCGAGAAAGAAGAATAGAGAAACTCTGAATTCTCACAACCATCTTTTTCAATACATATGTGCACCTCCTTATACCATCGACCTGTTGTTTCCAATCTCTTCTTATTTTTATCTATATTTTTCCACAGAGGCTTAATATCTTCAATGTTTTCATATGGGAGCTTGACCCAAAGTATTCCAAAGACGATCTTTCTCTCTGANGTCTGAGAATTAAGAGTTGCTCTACTCATATTTCTCGATTTGTTAAAATATGAAGCAAACACCAACTTCCTTTCTCCCACTGATTTGTGAAAATTTTAAACCCTAAATTTTCTTTCTGATGAAAAAGAAAGAGAGAAGATAGGATTGCATTTGGGACGAATTAAAAATAATGGCCCAATTTTATTTGGTCTGGTCATATTATCTGGTTTCCATTCTGGTTTAAATTTGCCTAAACCGAAGAATTAAACCAGAGAATTAACAACGTTTATGGTCGGGACATCCACATGTCACTCACGCTCGAATTTAATTAAGATAATGATGTTGATTACATAACATCATATAGTTCGGGGATGTTGGCATGCATAACATATACTTGGTGCAGCTGGCCATATATTATTAAACTTGGCATGGTTAGCCATGTGATGGGTGATACTTCGTGTAGCTGGCTAACATTTTTCCTATATTCTATCTAATATATATTTTACTTTTAAATATTAGTTATAGAACATGTCATTCAAAAAGTTGTTGCAAAATCAACTAATAATATATCTTCTCTCATAATTTCACGTATTTAATATTTAATTTTTATAGTGAAATCTGTCAAACAAAATTCTAGTACAATACAATCAGGAAATATTCTCCTTTACCTTTACCAACAAGATATTCCAAAAATTCTAGTACAATACAATAGTATATTATTTTTGAAAATTTATTATTTCAAACTTTTTCGTGAAAGCTATGTCGTTTAGAAAAATTTACCAATTTAATATATATAAGACATTAACAGCAGAAAAACGAAGTCACTGGATTTTAATGATGTGATTTTTTATGCTTTTGATTTAGTAAATTTATTTTATTTTAGAATGTTAAGACTTTATATATATATATACAAATATTTTTTTGTTTTCTGATTCTGATTTTGGTTTATGTGCAGAGGATCTATCATAATGATTCCTCTTTTGAAGCCACATATGATTTAATCATTCTTCATTTTCTTTTATTTTTTTATCTTTAACAGTTATCTTTTTTTGTTATTAATCTCAGATTAATTCATTATCTTCATCACATTTCATATTTATTTTCTATGTTAGATCTATGACAGTTGTCTTAATGTAAATCATTATCTTAGAAAATTGATATGATTTGATTACAAGAATATATCAGATACTTTCTAATTATATAGTGATGTTCCTAAGAATAATTTAAATTTATTTTGTTAATCAATAAAATAAATTTTAAATATTAAACCCACATTTTAAAAAGTATAGAAATATATATTAAATCAATATCTTTGTTGTTTTATAAATTACAAAGCAATACAAACTTCCACAAATCATAAACATAGTAGGTTATCTCATACAAAAACACATAATCTGTTAACTATCAATTTTTTATAGAATTAAAAAAAAATATCCGCACTTTGAAATATTTGTCAAGTAAAGTTTAAATGATTTGGAATATATTTAGTGAAATATATTTGTGATAAAAATATCAAACGTTTACTAACTAATTTAAAAATGACAGGCTCATGAATAATAAATTTTTATTTGTGTGTCAAATTTTTGAATCAAAAAATGATTCAATTCGCAGCGGAGCGGGTCGACCCGCAAACTCAGCAATTATTTATATTATGGTATGTATAAAATACTATTAATTATATGATGACACGTATATGATATATATACTGATATGAAAAACAAATCTATATTATTAAAACAGAAACATCATGATAATTTCTTCTAGGTAAGATTTTTAAGTTGGACCACACATTATTAAAGTAATATTATATATCTAATTAGTCTTATTACGATATGATATCTTGCAGGTATCTATTATTTAGGAAGTTACTGATATTTCTGTATCTAATAATTAATAAGAAGATAATTATACTTCACGTTTAGGAAGTTAGACATATATCATATTCAACTATTAGATAACATTTAATTTAGATATATAGCTTCTTATTATTTATGAATATCCTCAGTCTATGTTTTTTTAAACAGAAAATATTGGTTACAATGAAAACTTTTGATTTGTTATTAATTATAAAGAACAATTTTAATTTTTAACAAATAATGCTTATGTTTGATTCAAAACAATTATAAATAAGAATCAAAATAAATTTACTTGGATACAAAAAAATATGTACATAAAGTAAAATACTAAAGTTAATTACTATTTATAATATTTGGTTATATTATTAAAAATTATGCTTGATGTTTTTACATTTAAAACTTTGTTGGGTTATTCTATGAGGCGTACAAAGTAACGCGCGCGGATCTAGATTATACCCCGCGCGGATTTTATTTTTTGAATG